CTTCAGTACAAGTATCAGGAGGGGCAGGTATGTTCTGTTGGTCTCCTTGTCTTATGACTTGCCTTAAAGTGAACCTTTTGAAGTTAATTAGAGCAATCAATGATGTAGCATCAGTGCAGACCTGTAGTGATATTCAAACAACAGTTATTCTGGTATTTTACAATGGGATGGGGAAAACTGATCCATGCACAAAGATGCTGTAAAAATAATATAGCACAACATGCAATGTATAGCAAATAATTTTACACAATAATTATTTTAGTGCCAATTTCCACCTAAACCATCCTGGTATATAACCTTTCCTGCTATACAAAGATTTACAGAGTGCCCATTTAGGCCACCTGATTCTTCCAAATCTGGCTTGTTGTACCCAAGGCTGATGCAAGATGACTCAGAGAGAAGTAGAGAATTTTTGAGTCTTCCTTGAAACACTTGAGTTTCCTTTCCTATTCTATACTTTTGAGGCAAGGAAATTCAACAGATAGGATCACCTAATTAAGGCTTAGGTTAACCTGCTTATTATTCTTTCTCTATGAATGGATTGGTCTATTGAGAGTTGACTTCTCTCATCCCTGTGCTGACATTGCTGGGAATGCATTTACAGATGCAAAGAACACAGGGTTAGTCTCCTGTCCTGTCTTTCTTTTTAGTTTTCTAGTTTGACATTGACAGTGGGGAGCTAACAGGTAATGCAGAACAGTAATTCTCTCAAAGTAGATCTTCAGATAACAGCAGAAGGGTAGAGGCTGGGACACACCCTTCATTTTTCCCTCTTTGTTATATATTGTTAAAAATAGCCAACATTTGCAATGCAGACTGGGAGCTTAAAAGGCATTTGTCATAATAAACACAGACGTGGCAGGGCTTTTTCACTCTTATGCTCTGCTTGCAGGAGCTTGCATGGGATTTGCAAGTGATGGAGGGTTTTTTTCTTCCTTTAAACTTCAAAACAGAGGCAAATACCCATGTGTCACTTGGCCTATTTAACTATTTCAGAGCTTCACTGCATGTTGAGGGTGTGGAAGAGAGATTTCTGCTGTAGGGAGTCTTAGGCAAAACCCGAGTTTAGGAAGTCTGGAGAGTGTGTTTGCCAGTAAATCACAGGCAACAAGAAAGAAAATTTTTGGTCCATGAGCTTGCTCTTCAAGTTTCAGCACTTTTAAAATCATAATCTTGGTATTCATTCTGTGACAGAAATGCTGAAATGTAAAGCAATCTGTCCTAGCTGATCAGTGTAGCGTGTATGTACTTGCTAATTAGCACCATCTTCCAGAGGGTCTTCTTCTAGTGCCTGTCCCATTGGGGGAATCCTTTTGCCTCACTGATGCTTACAAAGGATGGGGAATATCTAAGTGTTTAGGAATCATTTGTGCTCTTCTTTAACTAGCACCTTCTGCTTCTCTCTCTGGCATATTTCCAGTGGTTTCTACAAGAATCTTGCTTTCCTGAGCTGCACGTGTTTTCATGATTTCATCACGGATGTTCTGATCTACAAAACAACTTCACAGAAGTAGCCATTTTCTGATGATGACAGAAAGATATACAGGGAAAAGGAGAATGAGATAATGGTAACTGTGATGTGCCAGAGAGATTTCCCTTTTAGTCCTTGGAAGCAGTTTCATCTTAGAATTTTTCTCTCATGGTTCCTAGTGTGCTATGTGTTATTTTGCTCATGAAGTTACCCTCCCCATAAAACCAGGATACCTTCTCATTTTAATGGAATGGTGGACTTCACAGAGTGCTGATCTGTTATGTACAGTAGTGTTACTACCTTCTATGTGTCCTCATCTTGCTCTCCATTAATTTCACAGGATGCCGTCCTCTGGAACAGGGCAAAAAGAAATAGCCTTGCTTCTGCAGAGCTGGGGTTCTGTTGATGCATTATGTTTCAAGACTTGGTCTCCTTCAGCTTCAGCACTTAAGACGTGGAACACGCTCCTTTTATTACACTTTCTTTTTGGTGGCTGTGGACTGTTACTCAGTTATAACAACGCAGAAAACTATTAATTTGATGCGTCTAAAAAAAAATCTAAACATATCCTAAAGTCAGCTTCACGTAGTTAGATGTGATTGTTCTTAAGTGTAAAGCACTTTTAATTTGAAACTTCCTAACAGTTATGAAATAATGTTGTCTGCATACAAGAGACATGGTAACAAATTAAACTAACATGGGACATTTTGTACAAAAAAAGGGAAAAGTTGATTTCAGTGCAGACTGGGAATGGAATATTCTGTGAAATAGGTTGCTGCGACACAATATGGCTGCTAAAAGTTTAAACATGTTTGAGAAACAGGTGGACAAACATGCATGAGAAATCCACCAAAGTATGTAAAACACAAAGGTACTACCTTTGACTCAGAAATTACCTTAACAATTCATGGGAGATTGAATAATTTTTAGGGGATGTATGGGATGTATCACCACATGTTTGTTCTTACAGTTCATTCCTTTCCCAGAATCTGTTTTTGGCCATTATCGGATGCTATGATAGGTGGATATTTTTATTTGATCAAAGATTGCTGCTCCCATGTACCTGTTCATCTGCAAATGCACAGAAGTCAGAACAAGTCTTCACGAGTCTCAACAGTATCAGTCTTCATTAGTACATGAGTATCTGTCTTCAATGTCAACAGAATACTGTCACAGTTTCTCGCTGCCATCTGGTTGGAACTTTTGCTCTCACTTGATAGCCAGCAAATTCTAAGGTAAGAATAAAATATATTTCTGGCTCATGGACTTGAAGGTCTCTGTGAAATGTCTCCTATTGAACTGATGTTGTAAGTCTGTAAATCACCAAATTTCAATTTCAAGCTTCTTCCCCAAAAGAACAAAAAGACTGCTGCAGTCCTGCCTGATAATCCATAGGGTGATAACCTTTCCCCACTAAAATGAGGCTGTCACCATAGGCTGTCCTTAGGTCATTAGCAATTCAGCATCTGAGTGCAGCTGGCATGGGTGGACATTTCTGACCACTCATGGGAACTAGGCTGGTCTACTTCCCTTTCACAAAAATTCAGTCATTTCCAGCCAGCCACACAGCCACACGTCCACATCCCAGCTCTAGTTGCAGGAGAAAGGGCATAGATACAGAAATCAGATCCTACATTTAATTTCACTGTTAGTCTGACAGAAATCTATCTTTCAGAGCAGGACATCATAGCTGCTGCAGAAGAATTACATTTCAGCAAAGTTCTTGCCAGATTTGACAAGAATTGTATTTCAGTTATTCTTTGAATATGAAAGATCATAACTCTTATACTAACAGTGTGGCTTTGATTTTTTTACTTAGACATCTGAAGTACAGTATGTGCCTTTATTAAAAGAAAATATATAGAAAAAAACAAAAGGTTTCCTGTAGTCTGAGAATGAAGAAACTCTTTGCAGTCTTGGCAAAATAGTGTCTTTGACACTGTTCTGATCTCCTTGTAATCCTCTCAATTTTTTTTTTTTATGTCTATCAGTACGCCAGAGAGTGCTGTGCTAAGAAAAACTGTGTCTGGTTCTCCTTCACAGACACTGAGGATGGGGTCAGAAAACATGAGGATGATCAAGTTAAAAGTATGGCTTGTTCTTTAGCTCTTGCTGGTGTATTCTGCTAAAGCTGGTGCTGGCATGCCCCTTATGAGCAAATAAAGCACTGACTGTAACCCAGGTAAGAAATCCACCTACATCAATCAGCCTGCCTGTAAAATTCTTCCCAGGTGATCCACACCCAGCTAAGTGTCCCTGCCATGGGCTTAGCAACCTGAGTCAGGAGAGAGCCCACCCAACAGAGGTGGGGTCAGAACCCTACATCCTTGTGCACCCAGGGCTTCACAGCATTTAGAACTGGTCTTCTGTGTGGCTGACTCCCAAACTGTCTCCTTGGCTGGTTTCATATTCCTGCTTTACTCCTCCAGATGTTGAATGCAGGTGCATGGTTTTTTAAGCTCACAGTTGCCTTTGCAGAAAAGACCTTTTGCCTGCAGCATTAGCACTTTTCAAGAGGACTAGTACTTTATGATATGCAACCCTTACAATGAATAGATTTGGAAACATGTTAACAGTTCACCACAGAGGTCTAAAATGAAAAGTTACTTTCATTAAGAGAATCCCAATATTATATGCTAAGCACAAGAACGTGAGGAATCACAGACTCTACATTAATGTAGTTAGGACTTCTCTGTTAACAAATGGTTTTGAATGTGCATAGGATTTCTTCAGGTCATTTTGTTCTAAGTTAGGGTCCTAATGTTTGTTAGAAATGGGTTTATTAGACTCTTTTTTTAAACTGAGTATTTTGTTATTTTGCTATACCTTTTATTTGTATTGTCATTCAAGTGTTTTGTATACATTACTTGGTATATAAAGGAAATATTGCAGGGGCTTTTACTATGCGTATTGTGTACTTGGGGGAAAAGTGCCTTTTTGCTTGCCTGGAGTTGGCTTTGGAAGTTTTAAATTGTCTAGAAGCAGAAGTTAGGGAGTGGTAAGAATAAGGTACTGCATTTTATGGATGTCTGCAGGCTGTCTTGGTAGGTGGCAGAAATTTAAATGAAGCGGCATAGAGGACTCATAGGGCTGTTTTACCTTCATTTTATGCCCGAAGAATTGTAAGAATATCACATGCAACAATTATTTGCTTTCTCTTTCAAACAGTTGTTTGCTCTACTGTTTCCCTGATCTTTGCACTTTATCATTGGAATCATGCCACAGGTTATGCATTAACAACATATGAAGCGTAATGTGCTACCTCACTCTCATCCAGGAGAAATTACTGTTATCAGATGTTGACAGCTTGCAGAACTTTATGTCATAAGTAAATTTCAAGAATAATTGGGGTAAAGTTAATCTGCTTAACTTCTAAAGAACTCTTTGGGGGAGACATTTTTTGCCCAGAGTTTTAATCATGTGTTTGCATTACTACGTGAATGTTGCGGTACTCAAACTGGGACACCGGGATTAATGAATGTATACTAAGTCTGGAGATTATTCTTTCTAACTTTCCATTGTCTACAATGGCTGTGTGTTAAGCCTTCTCCATTACTTAATTCATTTTTTGGAAAAGGCTCTCCAGTGAAGTGGTTGAGTCATCATCCCTGGAGGTATGGATCAACTGATAGATCAGTTGATCTCCAGCCCCAAGGAGTCAGCAGTCTTGCTGCAGTGGTCAGGTGAGGTGAGTGGGTTGAGTGCAAACAGCCAGGAGCAGGGCTGAGATTGGACATTTCACATTTCTTATGATATTCCATGTGGTCACAAGGAGCCAGGGTGCATGTCTCATGCAACTTTTGCCCTAAGCCCTGGCACCCCTAATTTTTTTCTGTTTGCATTACATTCCTGACAGTAATGCACGCTTGTGCCTGATGCAGGAGCCCTTTGAGCCCTGCTGACGCAGACGGCCAGCTCCAGTGACAGATCTCCAGATAGCGCGTCGCTGCAAGTGAGCAGGTGCTGCCTGAAGCCAAGGACACATAAAAGGAAAGAAAGTTTATCCTGTCAGAAGCCCTCTCATTAATCATCTTCAAATGCCATACAGATCAGATGTATTTCTCCCCATTAACAAGCTTATACAGGCAGGCTTGTTTGGCTGTAGCTGGCACTGAGTGTAAGCCACTAGGAACCCACTGTAGAATGTTTAATTTTTTAAGTTTTCTTGTTTCCAAGGGTGTTGAAAGATCCCATTTGCGAGTAACACTGCCTGCATTGTTCACTCTCCAGAAAGCCCTTTGTCTGTCAGCCTCTGGAGATCTTGTTTTGTTCCTCCTCCATCCATCCTGCCCTCTGTGGTCACCTGCAACAGAGGACAGCAAACAGCAGCCTAAGCTCTCCTACCTTCCTTTCTTGCCTCCACAAAGTAACTTGTCACAGCCATGAGAAAGGTTTCTATTTAAAAACAAAGAGCTGTGACCGCAGAACTGTGACTAATATTGGAATTTAGCAAGAAGTCAGCTCTTGTTTCAAGAGGTTGTGTTGCAAGTTTGGGAACATTTGCTACTAAAGCTCTTGATGAATGACTCCAGGAAGAGGCATTATTTTTTTCTGATTTCTGCTTCTCTTTCAGTGCCTGTTTTGCACAGATGATAATGAGGAGTGTCAGGCAAGCGTGTAACAAACTGTTTTCTCTCTCTTGACAAAGAAAAGCTATCATTATGTCAGTATGACACTGAGAACCTCCCGGATTTGGACAATAAATAGGTTTAGAGAGAAAAACATTAAAAAAAAAAAAAAAAAGAAGTGGATTTTAGGGTTTTCTTTTTGATAAATAACTTTGCTTTCTCAAGTATGAGTTGTTCAGGAAAACTCATAGGTATCTGTTTTTCCTTCTACTATTCTATTCACTTTTTCTGCCTCCACCATTTACAGTTCAATTTACGTTAAAATACATTTTTAATGAAAAGTTTTAAAGAAGTCTCTGGGATTAATTTTTTGGCTTTGAATTCTTATTTTTAACAAAACATTGGCAGTATAAAAACAACTTACAGACTCTGAATTCAGGTAGAAGTGTCTGCCCAAATGCAAATCAGGTATAGCCAAAGGGGTCTCCTCAGGTCCTCAGTACCAGGACATCTCCTTTGTTGTCTCTGCTGCTACCTCTGAGTTTGAAAAGCTGCATAGCAGTCTCTCCTATAGAAGCTGAAATGCAAACATATTTCCTTCAGTTTTTCTGGGAAATAACTATATTTTCTTTTATTTTGGAGCTAAATTTTTGCTAGTTTCTATTACAAGGAGGAGTGTTTTTTTTAATTATTTTTTCCTTGTATCTTGCAATCTCCTTTTCTACCCCTTCCCTGCAAACAGTGAGTACTGCATTTTACACTGAGCCGTGTAGTTTTGTCCAACAGATTGTGCAAGGACCATTGCAGCTACTGAATTTAAAAAATTCTAACAAACTCCCTCTTCTCTTTTTCAGGTTCTGGGGTGCTTGTATCCCAGGAGGGCGTAAAAATTTCTTTTCCTGAGGGAAATCCTCATGTGCCTATCCCTCACTCTGCCCTGTTTCTCCCTGTTAGCCAAGTAATAATTGCTGCAGGGTGGAAAGACAATTTCAGCCTTTCCTGTTCTGCTCTTCTGCACACTGTGCTAGCTGACACGTCCTTGCTCTGTTTTGCTTACAGATGTGCTGATTCCCTGGAAATTGTGTTGAAGGCATCAAGCTACACTAGGAGATCAGCTTTCCTCTGTTTCAAAGCCTTATGTACTCTCATCTTGTTAATGATGACAGACGCACCCTTTCAAGCAGGCCTAGTGTCCACACTTCAGTTACTAATCATGAAAGAGGATCTTGTACAAGAATTTACCAAATTAACACTTATTTCATCTGGTTAACAGTTCAGGTTGACTTTGTTGGAGTTCTGGTTTCAACATTAAGACAAAATCTAAAATACTCAGTCTGCAGTGCATCTCAAAATGTACTTAGCAGAAAGTGCAGATGATTGCTTCACCACTCCCACCATTCACCTCAGTGTTTATTGTTGCAGCAGGCTGCTCAAAGATACAGGCCCTGCTGTGCTGAGATGGCCAGCATCCTGGATGGCCATCTCCAGGACATAGTTCAGTCATAGAGAGAGGCTGGCGTCACAAACTTAGACCCAGGGCATACACATTGATTTTATTGGCAAACTCACTTGTCACTGTTAGCTTTTATACATTATAAACTTTATAACCCACGGCTCAGCCAAAGTAACAACCTATTCCACTTATTTTCCCTTTGAAGAGAGGTAATTCCTTTGGATGGAGGGCTATCAACTCACGCTCTGATCTGACTTTCCCTTACCTTTTCTTCTTAGCTGTGGTAGAATGACTGCTGACCATCCTCTGTCTTACTTACAGATATTAAGATTTCATTTTTGAAATATTAATTTAATAAATAAGTTAATTTTTAATGTCCTGGAAAAGCATCATTACATCTGAGTTGCTGTATACCTTGGATATTTAAATCTGCTCAGTAAGCATGACACAATAAAGATCCAAAGACACCAGACACCAGATCTGTTGTGATATCCTCTTTTACATTCACCCATTCATTCTCACTAATCATGACAGAAGATGCCACCCAGTACTGCCCAAATCAACAAGAGGTTATGCAAGATTTAAAAGTGCTGAAGCTGACTGTTTCTGATACATAAACACACACCTATTTCATCAAAAAAGACCTGTTTTCACAGGAGCCCAAATATTCTAAGTCTGAAGATGCAATAGAGGAGAATATGTATACAGACCATATATATGGCTTCCTCAGAAACCATGTCTAAGTGGAATCAACACTAATATTAGGTAAATGCAAAGACTCAGGATTATATTTATGACCTTAAGAGATATTTAAGTTGTCAGCTGGGCACAATCATCTTTTGTATTGGAAAACCTACAAATCAAAGGAAATTTAAATATGTTAGCACAAATTAAATGATCAATGGTTTCCTAAGCGAGACTTCATGTTCTTGGTACTGTGCTCATTTTCTCCTCATTTGGCATATCTGCACTATTGTAGATTTCAGTAGTCATGCACTTGACTAATGGTTTTAGAAAGAAGATTGTCAGCATGCACAGAAAGTTGCACTCAGTGCATTCCATCTAAGGCAGCACAGACAGTGAAGGAATTCTACTGCCTTAAGGGGCTTTAAACAAAAGCCTATATGGAGAAAAAAAAAAAAAATCCCAGCACTTACTGAGCTAAAGGTTGTGTCTAAAAAAATCATTTCGTATTTTTGTTGTGACATAATTCTTGTTGCTGATTCTGGCCACAATTTCAGGACATACATCAATGTTGATGTAGGTTTTGATGCAGGCAGTTACTTCAGGACACATTGTATACCAAATGAGCATTTCACATAATGTCTGTGTATTCACACATATAGGTTTTTCATGGCTCTCTAGGAAATGTCTGTTAGAGTTTTTAAACTATATGGGTAAAATGTAATTATTAATTTTTTTTCCGTGCTGCAAAAACATGCAAAACCACTTGTTAACCATCCTATTTGTATTCTCATTTGAGCAAAAATGCCAGGTTAGACAACTTCTTTTAGAAATACTGTATTTTTTGGAAGCAGATATGTGCAGATGCCATGCCCTGATGCATGACCTGTCACATGACATCATACCAGTGAATTCTGTGAGACAGCAACTACTCAGAAAGGAAATGGCACCATGTCAAGTTGCCAGCATCTGAACAGTACTAGGTCACTGGTATTAAGGTTAGCAGTATTGAATGGTAAAGTTTTAAATTCCATGGCAGTATTTAAAGCTCACACATTTCTCTGTCACACCAAAGCAGTGCAGTTGAGACTCCTTCTGTGTAGCTGACATGGTGTTGAAGCCTGCTGCTACAGCCTTGGTTTACATTTATCTTCAAAGCACAGGATTGCTGATGTGATGCCAGCAAATCATCTTTTGACACTGCAAATGGAAGATTTTGGGCTTATGTCTGGAAAATCTACCAGACATGGTACCATTCACATCAAGGAAATTTCTCATTGGACTCCGCACTAGAAGCACTCTCAGTGCATACCCTAGCTAAACCTTTGTATCTTTGACTGCAGTGATTTACACCCACCTTCCCCTAGAGTCTATAATTCTCTCTCCAAAAAGTTCATCTTGTTAATACCAATGTAAGTCTGGATGATAATTTATTTGAGTCATAGAAATAATTCATTTGGACCTTAATGTGATTTTTCTATCAAGCCATGAAATCTGATTTTTTTTCCCGTCACCATGTCCAACTGATTGAATGTGTTTTCTGTCTTTGTGATTTACACTGTACCTAATTGTAGCATGAACAGTTTTGTTTCTCAGAAATAACTAACAGGTGTACAATTATCTGCACTCACATTACTCCCATCCGGGTAATTTCACACTCCATATCCAAATGCAGCAGCTTATTTTTCTTTTTTTGGCAAGTGGTTGAGAACTAACTCAAGGTGGAATGTTCCCTGCTGGAAATCAAACTGCAAGCATGGTACCTCACCATGGTCTTAAAAAAATGTTTGCTCCACGTTGTAAAGCACCATAAAAAGTTGTCAGTTGGGTGACATCGTTATTTGTGTATCCCACAAAGTGTTATGAAGACAGATCACTGTCTGTGCAATTAAATGGAGTCGTATCAGTGATGGTGCTCCAGGCAATTTTCTATATTCTTTAACAGAACATAGAGCACACAAGATGCTAATTATGTGACATTTAGAGAATCATGATTAAGAGTCAATAATTTCTTTAACTGATTTCATAGAACATCTTAATTTTGTAGCTAGTTTTCAATTGCTGTTGCTATTATACAAATTATATTACATATATTAGATATGAAGATGGAAGACTTCTGTTTACTTTTGCTCTTAGCAAAATCAGCTCCCTAAATTGAAGCTGTTTTTCCAAGTAGTTTGTTCGTGAAGTCCTTCTTCAAGCTGCTTATCTTTGCAAAGCTGTGGGATAGGTCACTGTGTGCCTGAGTACCAAGTAACAGAGGCAGTTTGACCTCTGAAGTGGATAAAGTTGTGATGATGAGGCCTGCAGGGACTGGAAAACTCATCATTTTAGGCAAAGGGTTTGCTTATGTTTTTAGTGTTTCTGACATATCTTTGGTCATCTGTTTTCTTTAAAGCTAGTTGACTCATCTGTATTTCTTGATGCTGAACACTATCTGCAACAGAAGCTAGAAGCCTTCTGGCCATCTTTCTTTTTCCTTAATCATGTTAGTGTCATAACCTTCTGCAATGCCTTTAAAATAAAGGCATTTACTTTCATGTACATTTGTCTAGCATCGAAGACAATTTTGCGACGTGGAAATTCTTTCTACTCTGTTGTCCTAATCAGAAGTGTACACCATGGGTTCTGAGCATTAAACTTTCCCTTTCTTCAATTGTGTCCCTGATTTCTCTTCTGCTGGAAGGCTAGCTCCAAAAATTCCAGACTCTACTATCACTGGTATGTACTGATATGAGAAACACAAAATTAGTGTAAGTTAAAACTGTCCCTGAAACCTCTTACAAAAAGATACCTGATGGCCAGTATAATTTCAGAAGCTGTTAGGACTTATATATAATTTATATTTTCTATTAAACAGGTATCCAAGTGACTTTAGCTGAATCAGAGGCACATGAAGTGAATTGAGGGAGGTTAAGAATCTACAGGAGATTCATGCAACTGTGTCTCCAGTTTGTCCACTGTGGGATCAATCAGCATTTATAACACACTGGCTGCATGTGAGATGGGCAAGAAGGCCAAAACAGAACAAATGCACAAATGAGGTGATTTTAAAAAGTCAGAGAAACTGAGGCCAAAGACCTCTGTCCAAAACCAAGAATTTGTAACATTCTTTATAAAGCCTACTATTCCAGTATATAATTAATAACTCTGCACACCTCAGTCTTCCAGGCTTCATAAAGAACAAAGAGGAGCCAAAATAGTGGGAGACATTCAAGAAAAAGCTCAGATTGTGCGGCTGCCCTACAGAGGATGGTTCTTCTCTCGTTTTTTTTCCACAATAATTGGTAATAATAGGCCTTGCAAAAAAGGCTAAGTGCGTGAAACATCTGTCCAGTATTTTGCACATCATTCAGGAAAGGTGTTCTAAACAAGTTGCTCTAGTACATTCCCTGGAATGGATTTCCTCCTTTGAGTGCTGCAGCTCTCCTTTAGAGGAC